AGCATAATACTCTGTAGCTCCATCCATGTCATTGCAAATGGCAGAAAAATAGTCATTTTTCATTTTATAAGTAACCAACCAATGGCATTCTTTTTTGCAAAGAATGTTCAGATTATTGCAGATTAATAAAAAAGGAGGAAAAATATAATACATAATAATAGCTAATATTTTGGCACTTGCTATGTGCCAGGTTCTAAGTGCTTTGCACATACTCATTCTCATAATGGCATTATGAAGTGAGTATAATTTATTATCCCCATTTTATAGATAATAAAACTAGTAAGAGAAGTTAAGTAAGTTGCCTGAGGTTATACTGCTAATAAACTCAAGCCAGCCAGGCAATCCAGCTTCAGAATTTATGTACTTAAGCACTGCACTATGTAATTAATACATTAACAATTTACCCAATTGAAGCTTGATTATCTTCCAACCAGCCCTATCCTGAACATGGCCAAGAAGCAAGGAGTGTCAAAAATGGGGCCTGCAGAACCAAATTAATGAAGAGTCCCTTAGGCCCACATTCAGAGTTACTTTTATCTAACTCAAATAAGCTTTGTTATGAGTTTTTAGACCTTCAGAAGTAGCGAATTAGAAAAGAAAAGGGTTATAATGATTGTGGGCACTATTTACCTTCTGAAGACAGATTTTAGTGACTCCGGTGGGAAACTTGCCCACAGAACAGTGTTGAAATGATGAGCAAATACTAATAACTACACTACTTTCATAGAGTGAACATTTTAGAATTACATATGTTTAATAATTACATTAAGCTGAGCTACTCTATCAGATTTAATACATACAGTTAGATTCACTTTCTGAAATCTGCTTTTCTTTTTTTCCTTTTTCAGCTTGGCTGGTCCATTGGTCCTAATCATTTGATAAAACATTTACAGACAGTTCAACAAAACACTGTTTATACTTGTGCTACACCTTTACAGGTAGGTGTTAGAGTAACTTGGGGTTGAAGCATGGTCTTTTGGTGAAGGTGTTACTAGAATGGTTTTTTGGTTTGTTTAAAGTCATTGAGTTTTAGCTTCGAACACTGGTGGGATTGCAAAGTAGAACAGACTCAGTGAAGGACAGTGACAACACCAAGCAAAATTATAGATGTGCATGTGCTCCAAAGCAGGAATCCATCTTCTGGGAGTTTACTCTGTTGCTATTATCTGTATACATGAGAAGCAAGAAGCTCTGTATGTGCGTGGCCATTCATTGCAGAAGATAGGGGATGCACATTATCCATCCACTGGCAATTAAATAAACCATGGTCTAGCCAAACATTTAAATATTATCTGAGTTTTGCATTAGTTTCCCATTTCTCTGTGACAAATTACCACAAACTTAGTGGCTTAAAACAACACAAATTTTTAATCTTACAGTTCTGGAGGCAACAGTCAGAAATGGGTCTTACAGGGCTAAAAACAAGGTGTCTCCATACTGGTGTTCCTTCTGCAGGTTGTAAGGGCGTATTCGTTGCTTGTCTTTTCCATCTTCTAGGGGCTACTCACATTCCTTGGCTTGAGGTCACATAACTCTAACATGATTCTGACTCTCCTGCTACCTTCTTTCCCATACAAGGATCCTTATGATTGTATTAGGCCCATGAATAATCCAAGATAATCTCTGCGTTTTGAGATCCTTAATTTAAACCTCATTTGCAAAGTTTATTTTACTATGTAGAGTAACATATTTATAGGTTCTGGGTTTTAACACCTAGACACCTTTGGGGTCCATTATTCTGTCTGTCACCATGACTATTTAAAAATGAAAAGAAAGGAAAGAGAGAGGGAAAGAAGGAGGAAGCTCTATAATTATCGATATGGAAAGATTTCCAGAATATACTATAAGGTTAAAAGAGCAACATACAGAGTAGTGTGTATTTGTGCTATATCCTGTATAAGAAAGGGAGAAACCATACACTTTTATTTTCTTAAAGGATATCTGGAAGGATCTGTGAGAGGCTACTAAAAGTGGCTATTTGTATGGGTATGAGGAATAGGCGATATGAATAGATAGGGATAGGGGTGGGTACAAGACTTTTTAATGTATATCTTTTTTATATTGTTTCTGTGTGTTTTTTTTAAATAAATTATAAAACAGGGATATGTGTACCATCATTCCGTGAATAATCAGATCACTGAAAAAAATATCTTTTTCTGGAAGGCTGTTAGAAGGCTGAAAGATTGAAATGTGTGGCTATAGTAAGTTTACTTTTTTTGCTTCCTGCCAAAAATATCTACTGAATGAGACAAAATTTTGTTTTAAAATTCTCTTTCCTGTGACTCTCTAAAGCAATGTCATAATAAAGGTTAGTTTTGACTTCTGGTTTTATACATATTAAACTCATTTCATCCACTCAAAATCAATCCATTCACTTATTCAACAAATATTTGCTAGTAGAAGAAATACAGCATAAAGAAATTCTTCCCTTATTGAGCTTACAGCCTATTGGGAGTATGCAGATAATAAAGAAGAACATTTTATTAAAAAAATGTTTATATATAATTTATTGTCAAATTGGTTTCCATACAACACCCAGTGCTCATCCCAACAGGTGCCCTCCTCAATGCCCATCATCCACTTTCCCCTCTCCCCCACCTCCCATCAACCCTTGGTTTGTTCTCAGTATTTAAGAGTCCCTTACAGTTTGCCTCCTTCCCTCTCTGTAACTTTTTTTCCCCCTTCCCCTCCCCTCTGGTCTTCTATTAAGTTTCTCAGGATCCACGTATAAGTGAAAACACATGGTATCTGTCTTTCTCTGCCTGAATTATTTCACTT